CTCATAACAACTTGTGATATATTTTTATTGCAGATCTCTGCAGTAACATCAAAACCTGAGCACACCTGGCTCACATTATCAACTAATTCATATTCATTACCAGTACATATCTCTGTAAAAATATCAACATTTGAGCAACCTTTGCTCACATTACACAGTGAACCATTTACATCACAATAGTTACCGGTATCAACAACAATTTTCTCTCCTTCCCCCACCTCAGGGATTACACTCACCTCATCAACCTCACACAAAAAATCAGACACTTCAACTTCAGGACTTACATTATCTGATGGCTCACCATGAGATACAACAAAAATCATGTCCTCAGACATTAGAACAGGGTTCTCTTTGCTTTCAATGCAGCCCGTTTCCATAACCACCAGTTTATTACATACTGTGGCGCTGGGACAATCCCCTACATACGTCCACCTAAGGTCATTTCCAATGACTTCTACCTTATTAAATTGTCGTCCCCTTTCTTCTTTACATTGGACTTCCTGGGATACACCAACTACTTCAACCTCGTTTTGACATGAATCTAAAGCTATATCTGTACCCTTTGCCACTGGGGGTATGTCAGCACGGTCAACGTTGTCCCTTTTAACGTTAGCCGACGGATCAATTAACAAATCACTGTCATTTCCATTTAAAAAAATTGAGTCGTCAGCAGAGGCAATAATATCATTTTGTTCCTCAGTATCTTTAGCCATGAACCGTGGTTGCGAGGCCGGCTCTTGCCTGGGGTCAGGATCATGAGTATGTCCACCGTTATCCACATATTTGTTTTCACTTACATTAATAGAAACTCTATTAAAATTTTTATAGGGATTCTCACAGTGAATGCTGGCAATGCCATAATATATTTCTTCCCCTTGACTCTCGTCATCGTCACTGTCGCTATAATAATATGCCTGTCTCTTTAAAATAATTTCCCGTCGTTCTGCCTCTAATTCCGCCAGTCTAATTTTTTCATCTAGTTTATCTAGTTCAATTTGTCTCTGTCTATCTAAATGTTCTTCCTCTCTCTGTCTATTTATACGTTCTTCCTCTCTTTGTCTATCTATACGTTCTTCCTCTCTCTGTCTATTTATACGTTCTTCCTCTCTTTGTCTATCTATACGTTCTTCCTCTCTCTGTCTATTTATACGTTCTTCCTCTCTCTGTCTATCTAAACGTTCTTCCTCTCTCTGTCTATTTATACGTTCTTCCTCTCTCTGTCTATTTATACGTTCTTCCTCTCTATCTCTAAGTTCTTGTTCTTCAAACTTAACTCGTATATACTCCTCTAGGTTCTCTCCCGTATAAAGAAGTAACACACCCACATGCCTAATTTCTTCTAAACTCCATTTCCTACTGACATATCCAGCCATAGCAATAAAATTTAGGGGTGATCATACAATAAACAATAATTAGGTTTTAAGGACCAATCGCAGTCTGTTTAACTAACTCTAGCAAAAATCTAAATTCTACCCAGGTAAAAAAATGTTAATTCATCAGTCATAAGAAAATTAATGCCAAAAATGTTTTAAACAATAAAAATCCAACTTGCCTGGTTCGTGGAAAGTCCTATAGAATTTAAATATTATTCAAAACACACACTGGGCTTAATTAAGTGTCAATGGTTCTTTACTGTCAATAGTTCTCTCACAAACTTCAATTGTCCTATATGGCGATCTTGGGACACAGTCATTGAGGTGTGGGTGACCGGGACGGGTCACGGGACATCGGCAGCTCACTAGACAGAATGTAGGCGAATCGCCGACACTGGACAGTTCGTGTGTAACTCGCCAATACAGGATCGGGCACGTGCAGCCTGATGCAGGACGGGACGTTGGTGGCTCGTTGAAGCAGGACAGGGCGTTGTTAAACTGAGTGACCGGACAGGCCACAGGACTTCACAGCTCACTGGACACGAAGTTGGTAGCTCACTACCGACAGGACGTAGATAACTCGATACGTGGAGGGGCGTAGTTAATTCACTGGAGATGAACACGAAGTGGGTAGCTACTACCGACAGGACGTAGATAACTCGATGCAGCGATGGTCGTAGTTAATTGCAATGGTCGTAGTTAATTCACTCCAACTGAACACGGAGTGGGTAGCTCACTACCGACAGGACTTAGATAACTCGATGCAGCGATGGGCGTAGTTAATTCACTGGAACTGAACAGGACGTTGGTAACTTGTATTTCACTGGAACTGGACACGAGGTTAGTAACTTGATAACGGGCAGGACGTAGTCATTTCACTGGAACTGGACACGAGGTTAGTAACTTGATAACGGGCAGGGCGTAGTTATTTCACTGGAACTGGAAACGAGGTTAGTAACTTGATAACGGACAGGGCGTAGTTATTTCACTGGAACTGGACGCGAGGTTAGTAACTTGATAACGGGCAGGGCGTAGTTATTTCACTGGAACTGGACACGAGGTTAGTAACTTGATAACGGGCAGGACGTAGTTAGCCTGTTGCAGGTTAGGACATAACTAGCCTAATACAGGACGTAGGTGATTGAAGGAGTTACTGGCGTATACAACTCATATAAACTTGAAACACGGTGGCAGCGGGGCTCTGACATTGAAATACGGGAACATGCGACGATGGTTGTAACTTCACTAAAGTTGAATAATACGAATGTTCTTGTACTTTACCTCAAGTATGAAAATAACGAGGTTCACCAATCCCGGATGAGAAGCCCCCATGTCAACTCCTAACGTCTTCTGGATTGATTACATTCGTCAGTTCTTTCATACGTTGAAGAGTCGTACTATTCTCACTATCAATTAACAAACTCAACTCCTTTTGATAATAACTATAACTTTAATATCTAAGTAAATATAATAAACATCCTATCACTCCAAGGTTCCACTCAAGACTGCCGCACGACTACAACATACGTCACAACACTGCATAGACAATACGTCACGACACAGCATAAAAATACGTCATAATTACAATGGCGGGAAGAGCGTTCACTAACTATAATAGTCAAGCGCGGGAAAAGCGTTCAACAGCTAATGAACATAATATTGAGTCGCAACAATTCCTAATGAACGCTCATACTCGACACATCCCAACCACAACAGAACAATACCGACGGCTGGATAGAATGATACCGACGGCTGAATGGAGCGATACCGACGGATGGATAGATCTCTACCGACGGTTGGATAGAACTGAACGCTGTTTGTAACTTCAAGAACCCTGGGTAAAAAGCAATCATAACCACAGTAGAACGATACTGACAGCTGGATAGAACGATACCGACGGTTGTATAGAAATATACCGACAGCTGTATAGAACGATACCGACGGATAGATAGAACGATGATGACGGCTGGATAGGAAGATACCGAATGCTGGCTAGAACGGAACGCTGTTTGCAACTTCAAGACCGGTGGGTAAAACGGACCAGGCTAAAGCGATCAACCTTCCCCTCGAGTTCAATTCTCCATTTGTTTGGATCAATAAAAGAAATTTATCTCATCTTATATTTTTTTTTATTATTTGGAAGAAAAAAACGGAGAACATGTTGATTACTCCACACACACACTAAAAATTAAAAATTATACATTAATACTATACACGAATGCATCTATTGCTTGCCTGATAGTTCATTATTTCTGTCAAGGCATGGGCCGCATCCAATTCGTAAAGCTCTTGCTTATTTCACGATTAACATGGATATTGTATGTAGCAAAGATGAAGCGTGATAAATTTGCCCATGGATTCTGTTAAAAAAAAAAAAAAGACCTGAACGTCTGGTTACTGATTGGTCAACTTGTGCCCCCATTTAGACAGAGAACATTGCACTGTTGTATGTACCTTATTAGTTTTCTATAAAAATGTTTGAAATTGTATATCATTATTATAATAGTCATAGTCAGCCACCTTTGTATCCCCATGGGCCTACGCCCGGGCGCAGCTGATCATTTTAAGCTATTGGTGCTATACTTCTAAACAGTGCATTTATAGGGCTAGAAATAGAAAAAAAAATCCTATGTTTAAATTACTTGTAAAAACAAACATGACATCTGATGATAATCAATTAGGATGGACTACAGTAAAATGGAAAAATTAAATAAAAATGTAACAAGAACAAAAGTAAATAATATGTATGCAACAATCCATAGCATCGGACCGCAAAATATCATTGAATTACAATTGCTGATGTCAACTAAAGATGTATGATTTCATGATCATTTCATAAAGTAAGGATGAGTATTTGAATTGAAATAGCTGCTTAAAGAGCAGTGAATTGTATGCTCAGAACAGAAAATAACAATTATATAATGATATTTCCACACGAGTGTTTTGTTGTCTTGTCTCAGGTTGCAGATAGGGAAAGGTCGGAGGGCCTCCTGACACCTCCTCTTGCCATACTGCTCGTCAAAAGTATGATCCCACGTGTACCTGCTATGCCTTTACCGTGCTTTTACGATAGATAATCTACAAGCCTCGGGTAAATACCCTGGCATTTGTTTGAAGAGTTAACTCTCTAAACTCTTTGATAAACGAACACACGGACCAATATTTTACTTTATGCATTTCTTATCTTAAAATAATTTTGCGCTACGAGCAGCGCAGTTCACATAGCAGATTCTGGGAAATAATCTCCCTCTTACATTGTGGGTAGTTGGAGGTGTGATTTTATTGTTTAAAGTAAAGCAGGCATGCACAAATCAAAATTTAAGACGGGCCGTAATATTTTATGAAAAACTTATGTGGGCCGAAAGAAATTAGGACGGGGAAAAGCTATTAAGAAAATATTAATAATAAAGAATATTTCGCTACTTCGCGGGCCGCAAAGGGAGTGCTAGTGGGCCGCATTCGACCCGCGGGCCGAATGTTGTGCAGGCTTAGTTTAAAGTATCAAAATTGGAAAAACCCCGTACAAAAAAATTGCTCTTAATTGGTCATTGCGGATTTCCCCGATGAGCGTGATGTGAGCAGTAAATAGCAGTAGAAAATGTCAACGTTTCCGCATTTAACAGTTGTTAAAGGATGTCGCATCATCAGGGCCAGGGTACTGTACTTTATATAAATGGTATACATACGGTTTGATTTTCACAAATAGATACGAGTCATTTAAATGAACAATATCCTTACTCTTGTAAAATAAAATTCTTTTTTTATATCTTAAGGGCCCACGATCAATTTATTGATCATTTTGGCTCCTATGCATATATTCATATATCATATAGATGGGCAGATGGGATTTGCAATGTTTCTGTTCCTGGTGTTGATGAGGAAATTTCACAGATTCCCAGTGCCACTTTGTGAGGGAATCATGCACTAGGGGTTTGAAGGCTTGAGGCAATAGACACAAATGTGTCTAGTGTTGTCGCCTCAACCGTTCCTTTTGAAAGATTGTTCCAGTCCCTGATTGTCTGGGGCAGGAATGAGCAGCTCCTATACTGGCTTCTTGCTGGTATGAGCCTGACTTGCCTGTCATGGCCTCGTCGCTGGCTATGGGGGAGAGGGACGAGTTTCTGTTTAATACTGGAACAGTGGACCAGCCCATTATTTATCTTGTACATCATGGAGAGCCTGGATTGGCGTCGTAGTTTCTCCAATGGTGACCATACTGCCAACACTAGAGGTATTCTTGTAGCGGTTATGGACAAAGCGTGCTGCTAGTTGCTGGACAGCCTCCAACCTGTCAATGCTCTTCTGGGTAAATGGGTCCCAGACTGAAGATGCATAATCTAAAATCGGACAGATAAAGGCTTTATATGCTCTTTCTTTCACACAGGCGTTGCCGATCTTTAAATTTCGCCTTAAGAACCCTAGGGTCTTGTTTGTTTGGTTACATACATTGTTAATATGCTCGTCCCAGCGGACCTCTCTTTGAATGGTAACACCCATTAATTAAGGAGCACACACTGATTAAGCCACTTTGTTTGGAATTAACTAGAATACTAAATTACTCGCCTGCTCCTAAATTAGATCTAATTAAATTTTAATTAAATTCTTGCTTGTGTAATTAATAAATTATTCAGTAATAATACTAACTAATCCTTAACTAATACATACATTTTATAGACCTAGATTAGATTATTAGAATTAGGCTAGTAATTTTTAAGTCATGATGAAGTTTAAAGAATTGAATGCTCATTTAATGTGGTGACCGGACAACTGAACTTGAACGCACTTGACAGGTGAACCTACGACAACTGAACCCAAGACTAAGACTTTAGTAAGACAACCGAACTCAGACTCAAGACAACGGAACTAGGCTAAAACTGGGATGGATGCCACAACGTTTATTAAAGTTGCCGTGAATTAGGGTTCAGGTTTGGTTTAGGGATACATTTACTTAGATTTAGTGACAGAATTAATTGGTCTTGTCAACCTAGTGCGGCAATTGGAAAAAAAAACATGGTATCTCTTCTGTGAATTTACCCCGAACTCTTGACCACTGAACCCATGGACAAGTCACAAGTGAACACACAGACAAGTGACCATGCGGACAAGTGACCATGCGGACTCGTGACCACACTGACAACTGAACCCACAGACCACCGAACGCATGACAGGTAACCACAAAAAATAATATAATTAAATAGGATATGTAAAAAAGCTGAAATGTCTAGAAACGTACCAAGAAGTAAGTAGCCTACATAATTTCTACTGCTGTAGTATACAAATACCACAAAAGCTGAATGTGAATCTTTAGTCTGAGAAAGCGCAGCAACAAAGTTTTATCCACTGAAAAAAGACGAATCCCATCTACCCAAATGTTTTGGTCCAAAGAGAAACGCTAATTTAAAAATGTGAGTATCGTCAAAATCATTATTCAGTTGAATTATTTTAGTTTCATTTTAGCTATTTAAGTTTAAAAAGGCATATGCCTATAGTTATAGTATTCTACAGCACTTGGTAGTATACTATGTCTATAGTATATACTATGTCTATAATATAATAGCCTATGATAAATATTAAGAAATAAATTATAATATTGATAAATGAGAAAAGAACTAAAATGCCAAGATTTTACCAGCTTAAAGCCAAAAATGACTGATGTCCTGGTACCTGATTCTTAAAATTTTGTTATAAATGTTTAAAAATATAACTGAACTTATTTTGATTACAATATTATTACTTCAAACCATAATTAAGTTTTTTTAAAAATATTGTAACATACTATTAATCTTTTAGAATGTAAATTAAAGGACTGCATTCAAGCCTAGTAAATGAATAAAATAGCAAAACGAGGTATGTGGAAGCTCGAATTAGAGCACAGGACAAAAAGATAAGGATGTTTCGGCATAAAGTTAAAGCCTTCTTCAGCTAACAGTAGAAATGAAAATGTCACAAAGAACAGAGCTCACTAAACAACTCAAGAAATATCCATTGTTGTCGCCGGAAGTCTTTGAGACAAGCTAAAATTAAAATGATTCAGTCAATTCTTGATGAATTAGATATTTGACAATACTGTCATTGCATGGCATTGTTATCTGATCTATCTACTTATACCTTCATTATCTTAGTAATAATCCTCAACTAAAGCTATGCAAACTGAACACATATTTCCAAACACTAGCATCATTTTTGTATAAATTATAAAACTTGTCTTGTATTTATAATGTTAATAATATATAAACAAGAACTTGTACTGGACTTCAGTTGCAGCTTAAGAATAGTTAACAGGTAATCACAATATAATTACTAAAAAAGAATATGTGAAATTAAAATTTGATTGATTTATAAATAAAATTAACACTACAATTTAGGTTTTATATATATATAAAACTACATTATAGCCTATTATTACTAAAATAATGTCACCCTATTCTTAGAGGGCCTTTGCTACCAAGACCAAGAGATTAGATAAAAGTGGTGTTTAGGGTAATAACTAAAAATTGTAGCATGTTCCAAGATACTTTAATCAACCTCTAACGTTATAACACAGTAAAAGGGAGCAGTCCAGGCTTTATTTTTATATTTAGGACAAAAATGAATTTAATTAAGGTTCCTGGTTTCATTATCTACACTTTAGCTTGTATATTTTTTTACTATACAAAAGTAAAAGAGGATGATTCATGGCATGACAGTTACAAATTCATAGGATACAATTTCTGATAATAAATAAAAAAGTGTTGGTAATAAATGAAAAAGTCTGAAAATACATTAATTTATCTTTATATTCATTATAACTATACTATACAAGTTTTAAGAAAATGTATTATTTACTTGCATCATCCGCATAGCCAGTCTATATTATAGTATAGTTTATAGTTAAACTGTGACTGATAGGTCTATCATTTATCAATTATGAATTAATGAAAACTTAAATTAAAAATCCACAACAATCTTAAACTATATGTGATAGTGTGGTATAATACTGGATATTATATACTTGAGACAAGTAAAATTATAAAAATACCACTTTATTTTTTTATAGTAGGGGCCTACCAATTTCAAAGTCTGGAAATGATAATTAAAATTAGGCTTAGGGCCTACTTATTTACAATGATGCTATGGATAGCTTTGGGCAGTTTGATCATATTCATATAGGAATTAATTTCTTTATCAGAGTGTCCTTAAGTGTACATTTCTTCAGAAGAACAAATATTTATTAAAAAATTTTACTCATAAATTGCAAAATTAAACAAATTTGCCAACAATATTATTACTATGTTTTAAACCCAAAACGCCTTGAAGGGCAGAATTAATTTTTAGTAGTAATTTCAAATTTTGTAACATTTTTTAAGTAAAGCTAATTTAACCAATTAAATTAATTATAAAAATAACATATATATTTAATCAGTAGAAAATTTTACATGGTACGTTTTCTAACCATTTCATCTTTTTTTAAATTCCATACTTATATTCTATATAATTTTATTATTTTTGTGTTCACTTGTCATGGGTTCGGTTGCCTTGTGGTCAGTTGTCAAGGGTTCACCTGTCATGCATTCAGTTGTCTGGGAACCATTTAATGTATGATAAAGAATGCTAACATTTAAATTTAAGGCTGCTGCTATTCAGGCTATTCAGCTATTTGGACCTGGGTAGACTAATTGGCTATTCATTTGTGGTATGTTATTTTAGCTAAACTGAAGAAGTAAGTTTACAAACATATATAGTCCATTGAATTATCTTTCATTTGATACCAAATTTTGACTTAGAAACCCAGCGATAGTATTTTAAATATTTTGTTAATAAACCCAATCTCTCACTCATTTCTGGGTCCAAATAGCCATTTCAAACATTTAATGCTATTTTTATATAAATACTGACCAACTATTACTATTATGTTAGTCTACTAAAGTAGATTACTTGTATTTGTATGAGACATGTCAAATTATTGTAATTCTAAGCAATTACTATTTAATTCATTGAAATTCCTTAATATTTTGTCATTAATGCAATTTTAACTAAGCCTCCGTAATGAAAATTTAAAACAAGAATACTTTTTCTAGAATATATATTATTTATTATTTCTTAAAATAAACTTTTCATGAAAAACAAAACTACTCTTAATTAAACTTGATAAAAATGCAACTATTATCGTCGATAAGACATAAGAAGTTGTAAGCTTAGACTTAGACATATTATTTGTATATATATATTTTTTTGTTGCTGTATAAACACAAATTAATATTTGTCTACCTATACCATAATATATACTCGAGTTTAGTTAGCAATTTTTAAAATAAAAATTTGAGAAAAAAATCAATGGTGCGACCTAATCACTCTGCATCAATTTCACACACTGTTATTTAGTATGGAGTAGTCATTTATACCTCATGATGGAGAATCTTGTTCTGCCTTGTTCTCGCTTACTGTCTAGCAGGGAGCAACCCGTTTTTAAATGCTTTTTAAAAACACATAGTTTGTGACGAATGCTTTCAGCTTTCAAGATGTTATGGAAATATTTTGTGATGAATGTTTAACAAATATTAAAATATTATTTACATTAAAAATTCCCTTGTAGCTCCCCAAAGTAAAGTTGTGACCCATCTCTGGGTCAAACCGAGATACCCACTTTAACAACCCAAAACCTAAGGTGCGACCAATCAGGGGGTAAAACACAGGTACCCAATTTGACAACCCCAAACTAAGGGTGCGACCAATCTGCGGGTCAACCCCAGGTTCCCAATTTGACAATGTAACCTATCCATTGGTGCAGCATATACACGAGTATATTGTAATTCTTTTCATGCTTCAATTTGACTGATAAGAATGTAACAATTTTGTTCAAATCAGTGTACATCTTTGAATGTTAAAATATTTTTTATTACTTTTGATTTTACTTTTCCTGCATGAGCTTAGTTTAGAAATTTTTTTTTTAAAGAAGTAGTTTGTTCCTCCAATAATGTTAGCTGCTTTGGTTTTTAATTTTATTTAAATCAATTATTTTGTGAGTGTTGGCGAGGTTTTAAGTTTAATGAGTATTTTAAGTATACTATATTTATATGGTATAAAATTAAAATACTTGAAATTGAAATAAAAGTTACATTTTTAAAGATGCCATAAAATAAGATAAAACTATAGAAATAAAGCCTTTAATTGCATGGATTTATCTCCAGTTTTTTTAATTTTTACAAAATCAATTTTAAAAAAAAGAAAGTTTTTTAATGAGAAATCATTATCACTATAAATAAATATCATTTCAGATATTCAAATATAGGGTAGTTGACAATAATGAGCTCTGGACTCCGTGTGGTGCGTGGCCCTCACTGGACGTATGGCAATGACCAGGACGGAGGTGAAGGTCATGTTGGAACCGTCGTAGAAATTGGCGGACACATCGGGTCTCAAACTCCAGAGAAACACGTGACGGTTGTCTGGGACTCGGGAACAAGGCATCAATACAGGGCAGGATACGAGGACGCCTATGACCTCTATGTTTACGACAATGCACAGTGCGGTAAATAGTTTTATTATATGTAACAAGACACGACTGTTTATAGAGGTGGACATGAGCTACACGTATCTCTTCTGTACCATAGCGAGTAATTCTAACTACTTAGACTTACCACAGTTCAATTTATTGGAAGCTCAACACACGGAAAAAGAAATGACTACATGTAAAAATGTGTTCAACGTCAAACCCTTATTCATTAAAATAAGCTTACACAACAAGTTTTAATCAGTTTTTTTAGACAACATAAAGAAATATAATATTTTCTTTAAAAAAATTATAAGTTATAAGCACATAGTAACAAAAACTCTCTATTTGTTTTAATGTGAGATCTCTATTTGGATATAAAACATAATTTCTTTAATTGTTTTAAGAAAATACTGGTCTTTTATTTGAATAAGTAATAAAGCCGTAGTGAATATTGATAATATAGATATATGGAAGATCTATTTATATTTAGTATATAATATTTGACATATCTAAACATTGATGCTATAGAAACATTGATAATAAAGAATGATTGTTTATACATTATCAAAATAAAATATGTAGTGAAAGTTAAATTGGGCCTTAGGTATCTTTCACCCGTCCATTACCTGTACTGAATGCCTGGAGTTTGGTATAGAGGGTCTGCGGTGGAAGTGTCTAGAATGTGAGAACGTGGAGCTGTGCTCGGTCTGTTACATGGGAGATAAACACAACCTGTCACACGTCTTTCTCAGAATTGACAATCCTATGTCAGATGGGTAAGTAAGACATGACCCGTCGTACGTCTTTCTTAGAATTGACAACCCAACATCGGACAGGTGAGTAATACACTGCCTGTCACATGTCTTTCTCAGAAGTGACAATCAACATTAGAAAGATGATTAAGATGGCTTGTAATATTTTTTCGTATCATCTTTTGCTAATCTCTGTGAAATCAATTACATAAATATTTTCAGTTTATGATAAATTTTTTCCGGGTTTCGTTTTATGTTATGTGATTTATCCTATGTTGTCCTGCGACGTTAATTAGAGTATTAATTAGATTCTATTCTGGAACCTAAAGGTAGTTATCAGTTGTCATTTTGACGAAACTAAACTCTGCAAATTGAATTCATCAACAGTTTTTCATGTTTTGGCATACCATGTTTGTTACTATTTCAAGAACAGTTCTATAGAAACTATATCTTTTTACCTTGATGCTTAGTAGGTATGTGTGAAATTTTCTTTACTTTACTTGTGTTGCTATTAAAAACCATGTTAACCTACAGAGAGATGGTACCCAGGCGTTGTGACAGCAGGAAGGAAAAATTGAAAGCCTGCGGAATCTTCACTGGCGCTAAGGTTTGTCCAGGCGTAGACTGGCGACGGGACGACCAAGATAGTATGTGTCATAGTTTGTTCAATTATATAATTTTAAATAAAACTGAAAAATGCCGTTAGCTTAGGTCGATGCCCCCCCTCTGCATACCCTAGTCTTGCCACTAGTTTGTACCAGGCGTAAAGAAAAACATGCTCTGCACTTTAAAAAAAAAAAACAACAACTATTAACAGCACATAATTTTGAGAGAAATACTGGGAGGACTGCGTTTAGGTTTTAGCAATAAGAAATATTCAAAGGGTGAAACACCAAAGAGGAAAACCTGATGAAGGGCAATAACAGTTAAAGACAAAGCAAACACAATTAGCTTGTTGTAGAGATTTCATAGGTCACTTCTATAGTTCTTTATGTCTACCGTTTCCTGTAGACTACAAATCTATACAACAACCCAAGAGTCTTTGTCTCCGTCTTAGACAGTTTTGTTATCGGAGGCTTTTTGGCCAAAACGTTTGATTCCTGTTGTTGTGCTTCTTTAGGTTTTCTTCTATCTTTTGTATATGTAATGTTGAGACCATGGTTTGTCTTTGTGATAATTTTTGTCATGTTCATAGTTGGTGAAGGCGACCAGGGAGAGGTCACCAAGGTCTCGGAATGGGGCAAATATTTCAAGGCTGAGATCACCGTCAGATGGTCCTCGGGATCCATCTACACACATCGGTTAGGGGCCGAGGGTAAAGTCGATCTTAAGTGTGTCATCCCCGCTCATGGTGGTCCCTACTACAAAAACCATCTCCCCATTGTAGGTGAGTCTTTGAAAGAAATCATTTACCTTTCTTTCATTTTTTCCCCTATAATAAAGAAAAATGCCTATAAATTACTCCATTACTCATCAGTATAGGATAATGTTAACATTAAACAAAAATGTTGAATACAATTGTTTAAACCTTTGAAATATATGAATAAACCAGAAGGTATTCTAGTGACTGCTCCACTGATATTGGATTTTGAATTTATGTAAAAAATATGATTGTATTATCAGGTACTGGATTTCAACTCCCCCCCCCCCACCCAAACGCTAACCCTTACCCCATCGAATCTGTAGAGGGTAGAATGTAATTTTATTAAGTTCATTAAAATGATGCCTTAGCTGTAATCTTTGAAAAATATGAATAAACCAGAAGGTATTCTAGTTACTGCTCCACTGATATTTGATTTTGAATTTATGTAAAAAATATGATTGTATTATCAGGTACTGGATTTCAACTCCCCCCCCCCCCACCCAAACGCTAACCCTTACCCCATCGAATCTGTAGAGGGTAGAATGTAATTTTATTAAGTTCATTAAAATGATGCCTTAGCTGTAAACAGTAAATGGTTTTAAAGATACCATTGAACAGGATAAAGTCTATGACTCTCAGCAGATTTATATTTCTTATCAAAAATTTTATAGACTATTACGTAAAATAGTTACAATCCTTTAAAAAAAAAGGAATAAAAATGTACGAAACAAAAGGGAAATGTGTAAAGAAAATATTTTTTAAAATGTCTAGGAAACTAGAAATTGATTTAATTTTTTATTACTCTCAACCCCAACATTAAAGGTAAAATGAAACGGGAGCAAAGTGGTGAGGGAGCCGAAGCTTCGTCCTCTGTGCCTTCTCGCAGTGGCATCAAACATAGATTTAAAGATCAGCTAGACATTAGACCAAAGTCAAGACCGCTCAGTGCCATTTTGCTAGACATGGTAAGCAGTTCCAATAAATTAAGATTTATAAAAAAAAACTCTTTTAATATTTCAGTTTAACATGCAATTTACTAGTTGAGCTATTCTTTAATAGACTTCTGTGTTATTACAATATCAGTTTATTGTACTATTTACTTATAAACATATTCTGAAAATGAATTAACATGTTTTCCCAGAATACTAAACAAGAAACTGCTTCCGGTGCGGAGACTTCACAGATCGGTCTTGGCTACCGTGTGGTCAGAGGACCAGATTGGAAATGGGGTAGCCAAGACATCTCAGAAGGCTTTGTGGGCACTGTCGTGGACATTGGTGGGTCAGGGGCGCTGAAACCCCCCGCGAAGTGTGTTAATGTCCAGTGGGACTGCGGCTCCAGGAACACCTACAGAGCTGGACAGGATGGCTGCTACGACCTGCTTGTCTTTGACAACGCTCCAGATGGTACTTGAAGATTTTTTCTTTTAAATCTGGCGATACTCATCCTAATCCTATGGTAATCTCATCCTAATAATCCTATGGCAATCTCATACTCGTCCTAATAATCCTATGGTAATCTCATACTCATCCTAATTATCCTATGGTAATCTCATACTCATCCTAATGATCCTATGGTAATCTCATACTTATCCTAATGATCCTATCATAATCTCATACTCATCCTAATGATCCTATCATAATCTCATACTCATCCTAATGATCCTATCATAATCTCATACTCATCATAATGATCTTATCTTAATCTCTCTCACTCTCATCCTAATGCTCCTATTGTAATCTCATTTTGATGGCTGCATGTATTCTGTTTGTAGACATATTTTGCAGGTTGATGTATATTTGGTATCAATTATCAATATACATTTTATTTACTTATATCTAATGTTTCACCAAGCTACGCACACATTTTCCCACTAAACCCTCTTTGTAATACATGCTATGAAGAAATAATCGCATTGTTTATGCCTCTCTTTGCGACAGGTACTCGCCATGCGCAGGTGGCCTGTAGCATGTGTCAGATCAAAGACATTAAAGGCTTACGTTGGAAGTGCACAGACTGTGAGAACGTGGATCTCTGCTCGAGCTGCTACAACAAAGACAAACACGACCTCGGGCATCAGTTTGTGAGGATTGATTACCCGTGGTCACAACAGTGAGCTGCCTGTGATTTTGTAACTACTATGCACAGGGGTGGATTTTAATTTTGATCAGGCCTTGAAGTAATGGCTGTATTATTGAGCCTTAATAACTCAAATACTTGGTGTGTAGTCTGCAGTGGTGTAGGAAAGAAGGAGGGAGTGTGTGGAGTAGGCCATCTGAATCGGGCGGCACTGTTTTATTTATCTGGAGGGAGGCATTTTTGGCCGACTTCTGAGTTTTCATTTTATGGAAAGGGGTTGAATAAAGTCTTAGCCATACCCGAGCGGTACTAACTCTTGCTACGCCTCTGGTTAGCTGAAGTCAAAAGTTTTCACAAAAAAAATTTAGGAATTTTATAAAATTTAAGTTAATAATACAATTTATAATACTTAAAATAAGTTAAATAATAACAGTGTTTGAATATCAAAGGTTGAACTTTACATTCTCAAAAGATCAGAACAGTTTAACGTTTGGCACAGATGAACTATTACCTTTAATAGTGAAATTGAAATGCCGCAGCTATATATTTAATTTGAAAAATATATAATCAACTTATTTCATGCAAATAACCCAAAATTTTGCCTTGGTTGCTATGTACTTAAGGCACCATCAACGATCTTCCAAAATAGTAAAAAGCCTTTGCATCTGGGCACCATGGAAGAAAGAATAAAAAAGTGCCATAAAAATATTTGCTGATCTAAATTCTGGAAAAACAAAATGTCGTCATCATGCCGTCCAAATGCAAGTAAAGAAAAACAATATTATTGTTCATTGTTTGTTTCAAAAGAAATCAAAACAACCTAGGTCATAAACCACTTCTCCAACCCCCTAGTTTTTTCTTGCAAAATATTTTATGGTCATGCTTAAAAAGGGCGCCAAAGTTAAGTTTGCCAGGGGTGCCAGGAACCGTAGGGCCGACCCTGAATAAACGTTTTCATTATTTGAAGTTACTTAAACCATTGCTGTACTATGGCACAACGCGATATACCTTTACCATCATCATATTTCAAATGTAAGAATTACCTGGCAATGCTGTTGATACATACAATCGCATACTATCTTCTTTGTTGGAATTTAGCAATTGCAAAGTTCCAAAACGTCAGGAAAGTCAGAAGGTCAATGTCATGGGCATATTCCCCAAGGCTGTGGTGTGCCGTGGTCATGACTGGAAGTGGCGAGATCAGGATGGTGAGATGTATTCTTTATATCAATTATTTTATTTTCTGTTATTGTGATATTACTGTTTCATTATATTCGTATTCTTGAATAAGTTTACTTTATTAAGTTTTATTTATTTTCCATATTTTTATGTTTTATTTTACTTCATTTTTTTTGGGGAGGATGACGGGTTAGTGAAGACTTGTAAACTTATTTTCTCAGTTTTATTACTTTTAATTGCTTAATAACTAGCTAACATGAATTTTCTGGTTGGAGCTTGAGATTACAATCTTTGAAAGCCCTGGCTAGTACTCTTGGCTAGTGTTATGTATCACTGTCTGAACATAAGACTCTCTGACCGACTTGTCCTCCCTGGCAACATACATACCGGTATGCGGGACACGAAGTCAACAGATATGGTTACGGTCATTGGGGCCAGCAAGCAGTGCCGACAGGTCATGTCCCTTTTTTGAAAAGCGTATTGAAGAAAGAGGTAGTAGGGCAGTGCTCAGTTTGCATTTGTGTCGCCGGGCTTTGCTTTAGGTGATCCAGTTTTGACCCGTTCATTACACTAATCAATTTTTTTTATTTTATGCCTCAGAAAACAGAAAAAAATATATGCATATTTGTCTTTCTTCAAACTTTTATACTTCAAAACTATATAACAGGTAGCAACTATACGGAAGGTCGTGTTGTCTCCTTGGGAGACTGGACATCTGATTCTGGGAAAAGTAAGGTATCTGTTAGATGGCCTTCTGGTAATGAGAATGCCTACCGCTTGGGACATGAAGGAAAAGTTGATCTGAAATGTGTGAAGCCCGCATCTGGTGGTTTCTACTACAGAAGTCACTTGCCCATTTTAGGTATAAATGGCAATTTTTTAAACATTTAACAATATATTCATTCTTTTAAGAATCGTATAATAAAATTTAAAAAAAGGAAATAATTTAAAAATAATAATTTTGCAGACAAAATTCATTTATAAATACATATAATTTTTGTTTACTTATAAATTAAAAAAAACAAAAACACTCTAGAAATATTGAATGTAGGTTTCATTAAATAGTGTGCTAAACAACTGAGAAAGAGAGATATCAAGTAATATGCCATTCCTTTCATATCCTTTTTAAAAGCTTTATATAGTAGATGGCGCCTGGTTCATTACAAAAGCTTTAAAAGCTGCAAATCTATATTTAGAGAACTCATTAAATGACTAGTTACTACTATTACCACTCCCAACCCACCTCCTGGGCCGCTTTGTAAACTTTCCACCTATTTATTTATTTCTAATTATCTTTATATCTCTCTCAAACCGTGTTAATGTATTTATGGGTGATTTTAATTAAATGTTTTTTTAAATTCCTTTTTTTTTTCTTTATAAGATAGAAACTCATATATTTTTGTACCGGTATCTTTTTTGTATACACTAGGCATAGTAGGGAAACGTGACGATGAGAAAATATCTAGGTTCAAGGTCGGAGAAAAAGTCCGATGTCAGGTTGATGTGGAGAAGTTGAAAGAACTACAGCCAGAACGCAGAGGGGTTACCCAAGCCATGGTCCATGTAAGTCAGTTAGAATAAAACCATAGTTAGTCCTTCATTTTTTTTTATGGTTCAGGATTTTCTTGTAATATTGTTAAAAAAAACAATGCCCATATAAATCTAACAAATCAAATATTAAACAATACGTCTTCTCTCTTGTTCCAACGTGGATGTTAAGGGCTGTGATAAAAGTAAAAACAAAAAGAACAATTTAAAAAATTTAAACAAGTTGAATAAGAGGACCAACAAAATCATTCTGTGGCTACTAGAGTTTTACGTAAGGTTTACCATTAAATTAACAATGATTTTATTGCAGCATGTCAAGTTAGCCATTAAAAGAAAGTCATTGTATTTCAACACAAGAAGAGTAAAGTTTGACATTATATTGTGAATGATTTTATTTCAGCATTTGAAAAAAGTGGGGACTGTGTGCGCTATTGATGATGACGGTGACATCGAGGTGCAGTATCAAAGCGGTGCCACGTTTACTTACAAACCTGATGCATTAAGCCAGGTCTGTCAACTTTAAAATAATATACCGTCTACCAAATAATTTTATTTGTAAAGATTCACTAAATATAATTTTCAAAAGCTATGAAAATAACCATCAATGGCTTTTACATTTTAATTTTGTCTCTCATTGCATGTGTTTATATTAAGGAAATAGTTGAACAAGGTATGTGGAAGCTTGTGTCAAAAGACAGGACAATAAGATAAGAACATTTTGGCTGAGCCTTCCTAAGGAGACAGGACAAATGATAATAATGGAAATGCGACAAGAAATAGAAACTGGTTAAAAACTTTAGAGCTCTCCATTGCTGCCGGAAGTTGGATAAAAAAAAAACTATTACTATAAAGTGTATAAAATAATGTTTATGTTATCTACAGTCATTGCAAGTTTTTGTTAAAATTTTTTTTGTATTTATTATTTACCACCAATTTTGGTGCATTCATATTAAAACATGGTTAATACTGTCCTTAATTAAAATAAATAATTTTTATTTTAATTAAACTATAAGACGCCAACTGCTAAGTTTATTTATTAGCAAAACAGAGTAAGCACCTCATAATTTAAAAGATCTTTTTATAGGTATTTAAATTGTATAGTTAATTATTTCTTTGGTTTAAACTGATATGTTTTACATTTCAGATTTGGTTGAATACAGCAGATATGTCGACATCCATGTTGCAGAATCAAACCTTGCCAGACGAATCTCAAACTCCTGATCCGGGCCTGGTTGTGAGTGGCCTAGCTCCTCAGGCTTTAGGTTCTGCTGACCCTAGTTCTCAATCAGTGAATTCTGCTGACCCTAGTTCTCAATTGGTAGATTCTGCTGATCCTAGTTCTCAATTGGTAGATTCTGGTGACATTAGTTCTCAAGGGGTGGAGTCTGCTGACCCTAGTTCTCAATTGGTGGATTCTGCTGACCCTAGTTCTCAATTGGTGGATTCTCCTGAGCTTAGTTCTGAAGCGGGGAACGGTGCTGCAGGAAATGCCACAGAGGGTGATGCAATGAAGCGTGCTGACCAGGACATCATTATCCCGTCCCCCGTTCTCAAGCTAGGGCCGACCAAAGAGAAACCACAGTGTAAGATTTGTATGGAAGGAGAGGCGTGTGTCGCGTTCGTGCCTTGCGGTCATCTGGTCAGCTGTCCTGACTGTTCTACAGACCTAGAGCAATGTCCTGTTTGCCGTGCTGAAATAAAGCACTGGCTTCGTACGTTTATTATATAATTTGATCAGTATTATCTGTGTTAATAAATATTAGCATGTAAGAGAACAACTCTTTTAAAAAAACTCCTTCCTCTATTTGACTTCATGAGAATTATAACATATAAATTAAGTATATATATTTATAAATCCAGATGTCTAATTATCAAAATAATCTCATTTGAAATATTTCAGTTGATATAAAAAAGTTTGAATATTAAAGACGGAATCTCAGAATAACTATTGTCAATTGATTAAGTAACAATTTTTTAATTAAAATATTAAATTATTTAACCAAGTGTTTCCATAACATAATTTGGAATTAATCCACATCATTTTTCCTATAAGAATAAAGAATTTTAAATAATTAAGTCCATGATGTTACATTTCTGGTTAGGTGCCACTACTATAAATCAACTGTAAGAGTTTAGATATGAAGAATGATTTTATTTTGTATGTTATTTTTATAAAGAGGTATTTTCAGTTTGTTAAGAATTGAAGTGCACTTATTCATACAGGCTTTGAAAAAATGGAATCTTTTATTTATTAATGTTTGTTTTAAAACTGGCTGCATTTATTTTACAATATTTGTAACTTTAATTATAATGTTTTCACTGAAAAGAAATTTGGTCAAATTATAATATATATTTTTAAAGGAGTACTTAAATGAGGCAAGTGGGGGACAAGGGTTTAATTTTATTAAATTATATCTGTAAGTGTAAGTTTAAATTAAATTGTTTGAGATGTGAACGGTTCTTCTTATTTTAATATAATAGAAACTAACGCACAGAAACACTATTCAAGCGCCAGGGTGGCCATAATGTTGATAGTCCTCTGGCAATTCCATGAAATCCTTGCAATCCATTGTGAGAGTTTATATCAGTCAAATTTTATTTTAATACGACCAATTAAATAATTTTGTTATTTCTTGCTTTATAGCTAAACTACTCAACATATTACTCCCATGTGCAATACTTTAAGCTTTAGCCATGTATATTTTTTAATAATTTTTTTAATAAGCTTTTTTGAAAGAAATTTTGCGTTTCCATATTATTCTGATATTTAATCGACAATATTACCTTTTTGGAATATAATCCTTCAAACAATTATATTTGTGACTCCTGCACACGCCAAACATAATATATGCTATGTACACTACAACGTTATTATAAAGTGTCATTTCTAGTCGTTAAAACTAAATCACTGTGTGTTTTATTTTACTATTTAGAGATTAAAAGTTGCGATTAAATGTTAAAACAGTTAATTATTTGTTTTATTTAAAATCACAAAAGTGTATTAAAAAAATTTTTCATTATTATTTTCAGACGGAATAAATGTTTATTTGATGACTTTGACAGATGTCTAAAAATCTGAACTCGTAAAAGTCTTTAGTTTTTTTTGTCTCGTAATTATATTTTTCCTTATACATTCAAACATCATACAATGGGAAAAGTATGGTTTTTTTTTTAGGAAAAATATTGTTTATTGTTTTTTTTTTAGGTTTAAAACACAATTATTGGTACTGGTAATATATCCAATAGTAGCAATGCAAAGGAAATAGTTTTTTGAGTTCAACACATAAATATGTAATCTTTACAGATTTATTCAAAATGACATCTTACTAAAACATTCAACAAACATAAAAAAAAAATATTTAATGAATCCAACTTTCATCCCTTTATTTTATGAGTTTCAAAAATTCATTCCAATAAATTTTTCCCTATTTTCATTCCACACTGGTTTTACAATCAACACAACGTTGCAGTTGTTTTCATATAAAAATAGTATCATCTCCTGACAAAGTTAATATGTACCCATCTATCAGCAGCCATGTAATAGCTCACATAGCTTTACATTTTAGTCAGTCATTTCATTTAAGTTTGAGAAGAATAAACCTTTTTTTTTTAAAATTATATATACTATGGTTTCCCTTTTCAATGGCATTTTTATTATACGCATGCAATCTACTCTATTTTTGTATTTTCCATTACGAAAGTGATATAAATTATATTTTCAAAAAATTCACTTGAAATACTATGTATTCTAGTACAAAACTTGAAATACTATGTATTCTAGTGCAAAACTGTAACCACCCATGTGCATTTATTTAGTAAAAAAGAAAAGCTTTTGGTATTTATAGAAACAACTATTTACACATGATGCAAATCCATATTATCAAAAGCCACTTTGTTTTTGAATTGTTTCCCCTGATGACAGTGTGATTTTTAAAAAAAATTGGTGTGGTGTTATATCATTTTTAATTTACCTGCTGTTGCTATAAAAGTCCAAATAAAAGCATGTCTTTCAAACACATTACGGAAGTTATTTTACCTTTTCATGTTTTTGATTTCACGAATCAGCCTCCTTATGCTAGTTAACTTGACAATTATTTATAACTGTCTGACTACTAATTCATGGCATCCCACAATGCCGTATTACTTATCTTTATTTTGTAAGGGGTTTTTTCATTTTGTATACAGCTTATTCGTTTCAAACAGTGGAAATGTAATGAGAGAACAATAAGAAAGTATTGAAAAGAACATTATTATATAATAAATAAACACAGCTTGCTTAAAACTAAAGCATATATATCTTTAAATAAGAAGCGCTAAAAATAATTTAAAAGTAATGAAGAAAATAACATGAAATGAACATAACGCATACAGAATGCTCCAAAAGTAACAGTTCTCAAAATCCCTCATCCTGATTGCGCACGCGCGTTTGTCAACAGTGCAGATCTCCATCTGCAACGTGTTCCCAGTCGCGAAAAGAAAGGAATGTGGGGCAGTTGTTGGAAATGGGTCTCTTGATGAAGGAAAATGTATTCATAGTTGACGATTATTTTCACTCTTACGATAGTGAAAAGAAAAAGGTGGTGGGTCCGAGTTTGTAGAAGATGGTAGTCCAATCTACGAGAGATTGAACGGCACCAGTTTAACACAGTTATGTTGTCTATTTTTTACGAAAAAATATTCCGTTATGGAAAAGTTCTCTGTCAACGGAAGTGGAAATCTGAACGACATTAAGTTATTGTAACTTTCTTTGAACACTCAGGCATTCCTTTAAAAAAATAACAAAAAAACAAGTTGAACCTCGTACAACTTTTTCAACAATACATTTAAAGTTCAAGCAGAGCCTTTGCGTGGGCACTTCGACTCCTACGACTGCAGTGTGGCAATGGCGTAGGGAGAGGGCATTCCGCCCCGGGTTGCACATTTTTTCTTTTGGGCAAAGTTCAAGATTATTTGGGTAAATGTTAGCGGCAAAATCTTGGTCCGCCCCGGGTGGCCTTAACCCAAGCTACGCCCCCGCAGGGAGGCCTCGGACATTTAAGCGGCCTAAAATTGATAAATGGAAAAAAAAGGGATAAAACTTTGAATGCAGGGGGAACAAAATCCCCCAAAATGTTGCAAGGGGCCTCATAAGTCGACATACGGCTCTGATTAGAACTGAACCTGTAAGTGGGCTCAATTTGAAGAACCAAATGTAAGCATTAGGAATATTTCGGAACTTTAAGGTTATTCTTAAGTAAAGAGCAAACGGAAAAGCATCCTATTATTGAAAAGTTAACCTGACATTGGGAAGGGCGGCTTTAGTATGAAGGAAAAATGGTGGGCAAAAAACATTCCGATTATGATGATATATTAACGATATGCGTATATAAACATAGGGCCACAAACGCTTCGGGATAATAGAAATACCACTATTCTTGGTAACACGTCAAATGATTTCTGTCACGGCTTGGACGCAATTAACCTCTATTTTGTATATCTTGTCTTCACCGTGAGCAATGGCATTTCGGGAAATGTACAATAATATAGTATGTGACGTCATTAACTTTGAAAATGACCTTACCCCAGCTTGTAACATGCTTTTTGAAAGTCGCACATATTGGGCTACACAATATAAGAATTTTCTTATGCTTTTTAAAACGTTGCTTTGAGAGTTTTGGAATATGCATTCTATTTAACCTGCAGTCTTTCGAAAACGTAGCTGTAAACTCGGTAGATCTGCTAAATTACGACGTTAAGGAATATATTTATAGATCCATAACGTAGCTTTTTGTAACAACTACTCTCCAGCTATGTTAAAAGCATGACTAAATTATAGTTGTTATGTTTAGGACTGTAGCTTCCCGACTAATCAAATCTACTTTAGAGAAACAGTAGACTGTCGAGCCGAAGCTCACGAAGTCTACCCCCACGCATCCTCCGCTAAGCTCAAATGGCCATCAAACACTCCCCCAGTAGTCTTTATTCCAGTCGGGGCGCACAGCGGCACGCCACCGGGAGCTTTCCGCCCCTGAGACAGTCTCACCCACCCCTCCACTCGATTGACGCTGCGAATGAGGCGGCACCAGAGAAGGAAAGCCTGCCCGACTATTTAGTTGTTTTTAATTTTAAAATGTATAATCGTTCTATTGTTTTTACCCCCTTTGCCCCGGGAGGGGCACTTGACTTTCCCTGGGGGGGGGACTGACCCCCTCCCCCCCTTCCTCCCGTTGAGATGCCTGAAAGGAACACTGGTTTCAGGGGGCTAGAAGTAAACGCCTCACCTCTTTATTGACATGCCATTTTTGAGACGGACATGCCGGCTAGAGCCCCCCACCCCCCACCCCCCAAAAAAAATTGGGGGGGGGGGGGGGATGGCTTCCCGACTAAAGGGTTTGGAAAGTGGAAATTTTGGAAAAGAAAAAGTTTCTTTTTCTCTTGGAAAATAAGTAAAAATTTTTAAAAAAGAAAAAAAAAAAAATTTTGAAAAAAAGGGAAATAAAAAAAAAAAAAAAAAAAAAAAAATCTGAAAGGAACACTGGTTTCAGGGGGCTAGAAGTAAACGCCTCACCTCTTTATTGACATGCCATTTTTGAGACGGACACGCCGGCTAGAGCCCCCCACCCCCCACCCCCCAAAAAAAATTGGGGGGGGGGGGAGGATGGCTTCCCGACTAAATGGTTTGGAAAGTGGAAATCTTGGAAAAGACAAAGTTTCTTTTTCTCTTGGAGAATTAGTGAAAATTTTTAAAAAAGGAAAAAAAAAATATTTTGGAAAAAAGGGGTATTCAAAAATAAAAAAATAAAAAAAAAAGCTATAGGCCTATATTGTTAACAAGGTCTTTAAAATTAATTTTGGAAGGCAACCACTGCCGCTAAATGCTATAATTTAAAATTATTAAGGCCATGAATAATTTTTGTTTGACAACGAAACAATGATATCATTGTAAAACATTTAAGTGTATGTAACTTTTAAAATATAATCAAATGTTATAAAAATATAAATAATGCAAACATTTTATAATAAAAAAAACATACAATTTTTATTTGGACATTCTATTTTTAAATTTTAGTATCGCACGCTAAATAAATATTAATATTAACTTATTAAAGTATCAAAATAATTTTGAAAATGTTCAAGTATTGCTTCTGGCTTTGGATTTCCTAGAGTATCTTGCATTGCTTTTCCCTGGATTTAAAATAAACAAAGATGAATTTATGCAAAATAAATGGAGAACAGACCACCGCCATGCAAATTCTTAATTTCACACACTCGAGAACAACAGGAAGAGGACCTGCCGACACAGAACACTAAGCTCGAGATAAGGTTTCGTCCCCTGTTGATGGGAGGCAAGTCATCAGTAGTATATAATTTTCCTTTGGTTTTTCCTGCTTCCTTTTCCAACAGGCGCACCCCCACCCCCTACTCAACATATTTATCCTAAAAGTACTGAATGAAAAAAAATGCTTTCAGGCAAAAAGTGTCATACGTGACGATTGAACTCAGGCAAAAAGTGTCATACGTGACGATTGAACTCAGGCAAGAAGTGTCATACGTGACGATTGAACTCAGGCAAAAAGTGTCATACGTGACGATTGAACTCGGGCAAAAAGTGTCATACGTGACGATTGAACTCAGGCAAAAAGTGTCATACGTGACGATTGAACTCGGGCAAAAAGTGTCATACGTGACGATTGAACTCAGGCAAAAAGGTTGTATTCGGGGAGGTTGTATAGGGGGAGGTGAATATTCAATTAATCAATGAAGAGCCATGGGTATGGATTAGGACTGTCTGTAGGACCATTGTTTAAAGCTCGGCATGTAAGGTGTAGTATTGCCTTTAATACTGTTTGTAGGCCTATTGTTTAAATGCAAAAGGTTAAGCCTTAGTGTAATAATAAAATATTATAGGGCACGGCCTAACAATGGAAATATTTTAAACAGTCATTGCCGGGGCCTTAAAGAAACAAGATGTCAAACCCAAAAGCAGATTGTGTATGCGATTTGATTGGCGGTTTCTCATCTTTTGCTACTGTAATTTTCATATACAAACATTTATACACACTTTGACCAGCATATTTTTTCTTCAGTTTCTAAATATAATAGATGAATTTAAAAAAGAAAATTAATTTGTTACCATGCACATACCTTATTTTATTATTTTCAGTACGGTTATTCAAAAGTGGTGCTGTCTCACGCTCATCATTTATTGAAGCAGCATTCACACCCCAAGCAAAAGTCTTTTAAAAAAAATAAATCAGATATGAGCATTTACATAAAATGTTAGCCATTTTTATATGTGTTTTGGAAGTTTAAAAAATATTTATTAAAACGTTTCTTTTCCCCTTGAATTTCTACATAGATAAAAATCGTATTTACTCTATTTTTCCTATTATCAATTGCATTTTTCTTGTTTTGCTCTCTTTGATCGGATCTCCATGCAGAAGATGGAGGCAATGCATTTATTTCATGCATTACCTGAATTCACATCAAATTTTAATTGATGGAAATGCGATTTTAATTTATTTAAAGAGAAGAGAAATAAAAATCCATACGTTTAATAAAGCCGTTTTTTTTTCCTTGGGGGAGGGGAGATTTTGAAAGAAAAAAAAAAGACGAGGGTAGAGTGGTGTGACAAAGATGAAAATACTCAATGTTGTATTTACAAAATAATAATAAATATTATAATTACCCTTATTAAGTGAAGGCATATGCTTAAATCCTGCCGACAACGCCAAAAATGTAGCCGTGGGTGGCGTGGCTTACAGTTTAAACACACAAACAAATGAAATGCAGGTCTGAGAACTAGAGCTTTTATTTTTACGGTACAAGCCGTTGAACAGACAGTCCGATCTCTCACTTAGGCAGCCGACCCGAAGTATCTGTTCACACACTATATATCAATGTACACACTCGGTATCAGACACAGCTGACTACTCGATCACGGCTGAGAAAGGCCCGGGTTTAAATCCCACCCACCACATGTAGCCACTATGACCTCCACGTCATGAGCTGC